AGGAACATCTGGAGCTGTTGCTGCAGTTTTAAAACATCTCCTGCAGGGGGAGGCCGGACACGCTGGAACAACTGGATTATGTCTCGTTACCCTTCAGAGGACAGGCTCTGACTCCCCATCGTTTCCAGTCACAGCACAGAACACACACCCACACAATCTTTAAACACCAGTAGCTGTAGTGTTGTGGATCTATGACATGACGGAGACGCCCCCGCACTGAGGGGGAGGGAAGGAATGTGGAGACCAGAGAACAGAAAGATGAGAACAAAGTTCTGCCTGTGCTTCCACTACACTTCCCAGAACCCAGATGTTGAAACATGAGCCGCCGTTTCTTCTCTCTACATTTGCAGCAGAAACATCTCGTTGGGTGTAAAGACAAAAGAAACTAAAGTGGTGAGAGATGCAGCAGCTGAAAGGTTAAAGGTCACGGCAGGACGGTGGAGAGAGGCAGGAGAAACATTCCTCTCTCTCTGAAAAGAAGGCAGCAGCACGAAGCGACTGATTCAAGAGGACAGAAGGCAGAGCGATGTTTGATTGCACATTTCTTTCTTCATCAGGGCCTGCAAGAACTAAAAACTGAAGCTGAAGGACCAGAACCTCCAAGTCTGAGACCAGAACCTTTGAGTCTGAGACCGTGGTCCTCAGTCAGTCCTTTCCAGGGTCAGGTTCTGCCTCAGATGGAGGACTTCATGTACCTCTGGTTTTGTCCTCAGTGGGGGAAGAATGGAGCAGGAGACCAACAGATGGATCGATGCAACTTCTGCAGTACTGTGGATGCTGTGCCGGCCCACTGTGGTGAAGAAGGAGCTGAGCTGTGAGGAGAACCTCTCTGTTTACTGCTCGGTCTACATTCCTACCCTGAACTTTGAGTAGAGCCTGAAAGAACCAGATCCTGGATCCAGGAGGTCTAAAAGAGTTCTCTCTGCAGGGTAGCTGGACCCTTAGAGATCAGGTTCTCCAGGAGAGACTCGGTGTAGAACCACTGCTCCTCCACATCCAGAGGAGCCAGCTGAGGAAGTTCAGACTCTTGTTCAGGATGTACCCTGGATGCCTCGTTGGGGAGAGGTTCTGGACAGGCAGGTCCAACTGGGAGGAGACTCTGGAGACTCTCGGGGGTACTGGATGGATGAAAGGACCCTTTAAATTAAATTATTTTTCCTCCTCTGCTGGATTAGGCTCCTCTGGAAACTCCAATAAACTTGATATTTTTCTGTTTGTAGAAACCCAGAATGATGTTCCAACCAGAACACGAACAAAGATCCAGAACGGTTCCGTAAAACCCGATGAGCCGTCTGATCTGGACACGGCGCCGGGGTTTGCTTCGCCTCGAGGCTAAAACCCTCCGGAGGTTTTACCAAAACATCAAACGTCTTCATGCTCAGAGTTTCAGATAAAATGTGGTTTTATTTGGATCCATCTTCAACCTGAGGAGGTTCAGAACCTTCAAATCTTTCAGAACGCCGAAGTTAATAATTTTTATAAACATTGTTTGCATCTTAAAAACATTTTGACACATTTTGTCTGTAAAGTTCATAATTTGTATCTCATCATCATCTCTGACCTCCTCAGGTTAAATCAGTGTCGTACATTCAATACATTTCAGCACAAAACAGAAAAAAATACAAAAAACTTTTGTTTATATGAAAACTTTCAATAATGCAAAAACAAAAAGATAAAAAAACAGCTTTATGTCACAAATAACTTCCTGTAAGCATATACTGTATTTCTACTTTTTTTTTTCGGTAAATGCTCAAAAAAAAAAACCCTGTTCAGCAGTGTCTTCCTGTGACATCACAAAGGTTAAAGGTCAGACGTCAGAGGTGAAGCGCTAACTTTAGTAGCTTTTCATTGCAACGGACTGTCCTCCTGTGCCGTCGTGGCGTGAGACCTGATGGATCATGAGGAGCGTGATGAGCAGACCGAACAGCTGCAAGACAGACAGGCAGACGGTTACTGATGCTAGCTGCGCTAATCCCGCTCAAACAGGATCATGCTGTTCACACGTGAGGCTCAGGTTCAAACGCTCGCTGTCAAGATCACGTCTGTTCTCAGAACGCAGCGAACGATGGGTGAATACACCAGGAAGTAGCTCGTAATACCGCCGCAGCTCGAGCGCTGCGGACAACAAGCTAACGGAGTTTAATCTGTTTAACACTGAGTAGAGTGCATGTGACACCACAAAGAGAAATTGGTCAAACTGGGTCAGAGCCACCAAACAGTGACCGGGACCAGTTCAAGGATTCTATCCAACTGAACTTTCCTTAGTTTAACTACATCGTTGTGGCAGAAAGAAGAAGGTGAATCGTGGTTGCATGATATTCTGCTGTGGTTGACTGCCGGTCACATGGCCTCAGGGAGGGATTGTGGGTAAAATTTAAGTTCATTGTTAATCATTTCAGTTAGCTGTGTAGCATTGTTCTTTTATTGATTAGTCTGTTCTTGTTAGCCTACCGTATTTTCTGCCGTACACGTCGCACCGCCTTACAAGTGGCATCAGTCCAAATACGTCTAATAAAGTGGAAAATCCATAAATGCGTCGTACACGTTGCATCTATTATGTGTCACCGCTGAAAACCTGGAAATGTGGGCCGGTGTGCCAAAAATCGATTGGCTGCAAAATGGAGGTCACGGGAGCGTGCACGGGTGGACTTTAACAAAATTAACACTTAAAAACAATTATTTGTTTGCTCAGCTTTATAGTAAAGATGTGTCTCAGTTGAACTTTTATTTAATAAATGCACTTCAATGGTCAAATCAGCTGCATTTCTCCGGGGCGGCGCAGCGAAATGAAGCTGATTTGACGGTTGCTCCAGGCGAGCTGGATGAAGGTGTCAATGTAAGGCAAGCCGATTGTGTCATTAATAGCCACTTTTATCTATTACATGATACAACAGCATGCCATACACCTCGAGTGCCATCTAGCGGCTGAAAATGGTAGTGTTCAGTATTTTCAGTCAGAATAAATGAAAACGGTCATATCTCAACCAAAAACTGGTTTATAAATACGGGGAAAAATATATAAATAAGTTGCTTCGGTGTTTAAGTTGCGGGGCAAATTATATAAAAAACTGTGACTTATAGGCCGGAAAATACGGTTGTCATGAAGACCTGTGGGGTTCACTCTGTCTGTGTGTTCAACAGTAAAATAAAGTCTATCAAACACCATCTGGTTGATTCTTGATCTAAAACAAGAGCCGTACTTCTCTCTCAGTGGCTGAGTGCTGCCACGCTACAATATATTCTTCGGTGTAGTGACAAGAAAACAGAAAATTAGTGGAACTTACTGCAGTAACAGAAAATCCAAAATAAACGCCCATGGCCACCTTGAAGACGATGTCAATCATGCCAAAGACGATGTCACCGCAGGGCTGCAGAGGACAAAACGAGGACAAAAACAGGGTCGTGAGCCAGAAACATGACTGGATGATGTCTGGGCCCACTCGGATTCTGATTGATTACCTTTGAATAGATCTGGGCTGGACCGGAGCGGCCCTGTGGGAACACAAGAGCAAAATGTTGTTAAGAACTGCAGCTGAAACAGACCAGTTCAGGTTACACGCAGAAACGTTTGATAAGATGTTAATAATCTAGTTGAACGCACCGCAGGTGTTGGTTTACAGCTGAATGAAGACAAGCACTCACAGGAGTCAGGAATGGTGTCAGCCCAGTCCTCGGCATGCCCCACTCCACAGCACTGGAGCTAAAACCAAACGAGACTTTTAGAAAACGGGCCGCGGAAACAGATGTGAACACCATCCAGAACCGCTGCAGTCTTCTCCGGACCAGAGCTAGTTTCAAATGAACTGAGGTGAAGTCCAGAATTGTTCTGAGATCAGACGGGTCTAAATCTGAAGTTCTGTTTGGAAACTATAAACACCGCGTCCTCCTTGAAGAAGAGAGGGACCACCCAGCTGTTATCAGCTCACTGTTCAAAAGGCTGCCTCTCTGATGGTGTTGGGGTGCATTAATACCTCTGTCATTGGCAGCTAACACATCTGAAATGTTCTATGGTGTTTAAAAAAATAAGACTGCTCCCATCCAGCACTGAAGATTCTGGACTGTTGGAATCCTCCATCAGATCAGAATGGGACCACATTTCCTCCAACAGCTGGTCTCCTTAGATCCTCTAAAACCTCCACCAACTGGTCTTCTAAAACCTCCAAAAACTGGTCTCCTCAGGTTCTCCAAAACCTCCAACATCTGGTCTCTTCAGGACCCCCAAAACCTTCAACATCTGTTCTAAAACCTCCAACATCTGGTCTAAAACCTCCAACATTTATTCTCCTAGGGTCCTCCAAAACCTCCAACATCTGGTCTCCTCTGGTCCTCTAAAACCTCCAACATCTGGTCTCCTC